AACACAGAAGTGGGTATACGCCCAACTACACCAGTGACTAGTTATAATATTAAACAGCTAACTGTGACTGACACTGAAAGTCTGTATTTAATTTATTATGACTTCTGATTAGAAGAGATATTGATGACAAAATGATCTGTTTTTTGTCAGAAGCTTTTGTTGAATGTTTTGATTTTTTTTAAAAAGGTTTTACTGATTTAAAAATATTATGTACCTATACCGGGCTAAACGGTAGTGATATATTTAAATATTAAAATATTAAAAAAAACTTGCCTAAATACAGATATTTTATTTTGTACTAAGACTTAGTACCTAAAACTATTTAGTCATGCTGCATAAAATGCAATTTAATACTACTCGTGTGTTCTGTGTATAAATTAATTTGATTTGTCTTATTCTGTTTTATTGAGACATTTAAATTTATTTATATTTTAGATTAAAAACAAGGATTAATAAGGTTAACACTACATGATTCACCATAAATCATTGACCCAAAAATCACTTTTATGTACCAATTTGTGTTTTTAATTTCTTTAAGAATGTCGGACAATCATCCTAGCCACCCTATGAGTTGTGGATAAGTTAATTAATATTCTGAACTCTGAAGTATGTATACCTGAAATAAAATATAAACCTTGAGATCAGAAATATTTTGATATGAATAGGTATAAATATATCTTTCAATGTTTTATCACAGATACAAATCGTATCAAACTTGTATTTATAGTTGAAAACAAAAACTTCACAAATTGTATTAACCAAAACCATTATTTTATTATTATTATTATTACGTTTTTAAATTGATAACATTAAAATTAGAAAAAAAATCAAAAATTAAACGAAAAATTAGAATATCATTAAACAAAATATATCAATAAACATAATTAAAGATTAAAAATAAACAATAAACGTTGAATACGTAGCGTAAATATTTAATTAAAAATAACGTTTGTGACTTTTTTACGTTTTATCTATAATATATTAATAAATAGACATTAATAGACATAATCATTTGACATCATATGGGTATACGGTACGAATTTTTCAGTCCTAATTAGCGTGGTTAATTATGTTACAAATGATAATATCATTTAAAAATTAATCAATGTATAATATTAATATGTAATAGACAATAGTGTAATACACCATTACCTTACCTATGTACATTGAATATCTAGATGCCATATTATATTAATCGATATAACTTATAAATTATTTACCGGATCTCCGCTTATTTATTAATTTATAACGTTATTTAAGATCGTTTATTTGAAATCTATATTTTTTTCTGAGTGGGTTTAGAACAAAAAAAATTGCTCAGTTAATATCTGTGGGTTATTGTAAAACTAATCTGACGACAGGAGTGTTGAAATGTTTTTGTAATGTTTGTTATTTTATTAAAACGTTTGGTTTGAATAATATTTCATTATTTAAACGGTCAATGCCATCTAGTGACAGGTATCCAACATTATGTTGTTATGTTTTAAAAAACAAAGCAACGATTGTATATTATTGATTAATTACTATTAGTTCTTAACTATTGATAATGGAGTTTTTTCAGTGATGTATACTTGAGTGATGTTGAAAAAGTATCTATTTTTTTCATTATAAAGATTATATTTATTTTAATCAATTACATGTTCCTATACACAAAATACAAGTCTTCACTGTTATTAACTATAAAAAATATATATTGTTTCTTATAAAATCACGAGGAATATATAAATATGATAACTGATATGTGGATGTTGATGAAATATTGAAATCATAATATTTATCATTTAATAATACATAAAAACTACAATGATATTAAAATGTATTGGTTGTTTCGGATGTACAGAAAATTAGATTGTGTGTGGACAAGCAGTTGACATTGTACCAATTATTTTGAATGTATAGAATAACTTTAATTATCTTCAAAAATGAAATTAGAGATTTTAAAAACGTAGACAATGTGAATTGTTTATTTTTAAAGATCTGTTTTAATGATAAAGTTAAACATTTCAATATTTGAATTCACATATATTACTGGGTAGGTAATAATTACAATAAATTATAATCTGTTAAAAATGGATGCTATGCTTTCTGGGCCACCTTATGGTTTTTATGAATACAATTATTAATTGTAATAAAAATGAAATTAAGTTAGAATGTTAGATTAGGTAGTCTAAGTGTTAGTGACACACGCAGGAGCCTAGATAACTAATACATATACGTGTAAAGTAAAAAATTAACTTCAGTTCAAAACATTTATTCTGTTTATTTTGAGTAAAAACTATTATAGTTACCTACTATGGAAAGTAGATACATTGTTTCGTATTGCGATTTTAAATTTTCTCTCATAGATTATAACTTATTGTTGTGGAGGAGTTGGATGTTGGGGGGTTCCAAGGGTCCAGAATTTTCCCCATTGGTCCATACCGATGTTAATTTTTTTTACGTGATTATAAATGTAACCTGCAGTTCTGTGTTGGGAATATTTTTTTTAAATTGATTTATTTATTGCATGTTTTAATAAACTTGGTATTTTTACAATATTACTAATTTACACGCTTATAAGATAGATAAGCAATGTTATGCATGATAAATATTGTCTTTTACAATTAAATGGTTTTTACAAGAAATTTATATTTTTATAATAATTATAGTTGTAACCTGTTAAGTACCTAAGTAGTAAGTATAGTATTTCAGTTTTCTGCGAAAATTATGTGCTCCCCCATGAAAAATGCATGAATAAGCCACTAACATTTAGGTAGGTATATATAATAAAATAAATTTAAATTATTCACAACTTGATTCTGTAGTGAAACTTCCGGTCAAAAATATTTTTCCCAAGCAATATTTCACGGTTTGCTAATTTTGTTTTGTTATAAAATGTATAAGGCTGTTACACACGTACTTTTTTAACAGTTTGATTTTTTTTTTTGGCCTTCTTAAATCAGAAGTCTCTAATTGATATATATGCGTAATTGTTAAAATTAAATTAAAAAAAGTGGGGAAGCAGAAAACTACTTATTTTACTGCTAGTTATTCATGCGTTTTTCTCAAAGACAAAAATTGTATCATGCATAAATTGAAAAATAACTAAAAACAGTACACTTTTTAAAATACCCATAACTAGTACATAAATATCTTAAGTATTTTAAATTATTTCTTGTTATTTAAATGCTAATATGAATATTCGGTGAAAATTTCAATTCTTGGCAGTTATTCATTTCAAAAACTGGTTCTGCGCAAAAATGATCGTTTTGGCATTTTCCCTTAATTTTATTTTTATTTTTTCCGGTTATTTTGAAAAGTGCTAGGGATTTATTACTTTTGACTCCCGAAGTACCAACAAGGTATTTTACTTTACAGTTTACAACCAAAAACCACTTTCTAAGTTAAAAATAGAAGCATTTTTACTGCTCCAAAAAGCGATGACAGACACAAAAATAATAATAATAAAAAAACCACACCTCATTGTAAATTGAATACATTCATTGCTCTGCTCAGAATCTCAAATGTAGTTTATTAAATTATTTTTTTTACAGTTATATCATTCATTTAGTTTGAAATTGTGTACCATATTATTTAAATTTAGTTGTATAAATTATAACATTTTACGTTATCAATTATGTATTATATTTATCGAATAACAGCAAATAGAGTATAGACTACAGGTAACAAGTTTAGTTTTTAAAACAGTTAAAAGGTTTGATCTTATATAAAATGTAATTAGAGTACATTTAGTGTGGATTTATTTTTCATTTTATCTATTTAAATTGGCTCTTAGTAATAATGCTTATTTAAAATCATGTATTCCAGTTTACCCTGATTATTTAATATCTAAGTTGTTGGTACCTGCATCTAGGCAATTGAGAATACTGACGAAGTCAATTTATATTGATTTTAAATTTAGTGTTAGTAATGTTCATAAGAGAATTAAAGAAACATGCTATTTTTTAATCTTCTAAAGTTAAAGGGCTCGTTATTATGAAATAGTGAAAATGACTGTACCTATGGTTGATACCTAATAGTTTTATTTAAATTTGAACACTAAAATAACTTTGTTCGATCATTCATAGTAAATTAGTAAATATGAGTTTTTATAATAATATTAAAACTTAATGTTTCTATCTATCACAACATTTTTAAATGTATTTTTATATGTATGATTATATCATAATTTACATTCGGTGTCCTTAGTATAAGTATCTATAATAATACAAATATTTTATAATTAAATGTATAGTGTGTAATGTACATTGGTATTATTAAATAATTTAATGATACCCGGTAGGTAGTCAGTACCTAGATGTATTTTTCAATATAACTATCGTATGACTATACTTCCGGATACAAATTATAATTGGGTATCTGGTATACAATATTTAATTTGTTTCTTATACGGTTATAACGAAATGATAAAATTCTAATATTCTATCATATATGCATTATGCCTACTATTTTATTTGGTAGGTATTAATATATTATATACTATTGCTTGAGTGTTGGTGTATTAATCTCGAGTGGGAGAATACATTGAAATCTTTATTGTTTTATAAAACTTACAATTCATATTTGCACTACTGCAATACCTATTTGCCGCAGTATCGCTTGCATATCAGTAGTTTTGTCATGATTGTCGAACATCACGAGTAAGGTAAAAAAAAAAAAAGTAGCCACGTCCTTCATCGCCGAAATCGGTTCTTGCCGCGAAAGCGTAACAGACATTTTAGTCATACATTCGCACTTATAAGATAATATTTGTATGTGATATTATCCTAATATCATGACGGGTGTCATGGTACTCGACTACCTATATTATTACCCATACATACGTTTTTTCCACCAAACAATTATTATTATTGTCTCATTTATTGTACCTAAACCTACCGAAACGGTTTGAAAAAAAGCGGTTGGCATAGGTGATAGGTGTACCGAATGCGCGCGCCGGAGCAGTTTGATACACGCGATCGGGCGCGGTGCCGTGGCGGATGGAAGTAAACAAAAACGACGGCGCGTTCAGAAATCTTCGTGGATCGCGCACGTTGCCGCGTAAAAGCGCATTCGTACGTTGCCGGCGCGCGTGCGACTACCGTCGTTGTGTCGGGATATCCGTGATTTCATGTTTGTTTTGTCCAATACTATAATATCGTGCTATTCGTCCGCCGTGTGGTTCGAAATTAATTTTCTATCCGACTTCTAAGACTCATCAAGATGTCGGTCCAGATATTGTGTTGATTGTCATACATCAGCTGCTCACCTAATGGATATTAGATCGACGTATTATTTTACGGTAAGGGAAAATAAACGTATTTTTTAAATTTTTTTTCCCAGACATATTATATAGGACCACGAATTAAATTAATTAAATTACATTTTTTATATACTTAATTTATGGATTATATTTCATGTTTTTTTTCTAAGATACACGCTATTTGTTCAAAAGAATACCTACTTACATCAAATAATCATAATTAAATAGGTTTTCTTTTTTTTTAAGCATACCTTGCGTTCAAATTATAGAAACTCGTAACATTTAAATAAATTAAATTGATAGATTTTTAAATGTGTGGGCAGTTTTGATTTAACGGCTAGTAAATAATTTGGGAATTCACTAGAAAAGAAAACTTTTTCGGTAATCCAAATTTAATGTATTTTATTAGAAACATTTTTATAAATGAATTTTATTCTTACATAAAAATATAGATAGTTAATTTATATTATTTTGTGCATATTGTGTCTAATGACCATAATTTGTTCTTTCTAAATGTTTAGTATTCTTATGGCTGAATATTATTTTGAATTCATTTTATTCTCAATTATTATTTATGCTATTCCGTGTGATAGATACCAAGTTGTATTTTTTAAAAATCCCGTAGGAATGTTCATTTTAAATCTGACCCAGTAAGATAACTTACGTAGGTACTAGGTACCTATATGTACCTACTGATTTTAAACTAGGTACCGACCAGTGTGGCACTGTTGGGGTAAGTTATTTTTAAAAGGTAATTAAATTACATTATTCATTATTTGGAGATAAAATACTGAAGTTCCTTCACTTAATGATACTTTATTTTTTTTAAAAGAAAATGAACTTCTTTACTTTAACTTTACAAATAAAAAACAGTACAAGTTCATTTCAGTAATTCCTTATCACTCGTCAATCGAAAACTAAAGTGTATATAAATTATTTATATAAATATAAATAGATGTGTTATACTTAATCACATAGGTATAATTTAAGCGAAAAAAATTTTATTTAGAGAAGGGCTAATTACTTCAATAAAATGCAGCGCAAATAAATGTTATCCAAAATACCGAAAGTTGAATTGTGAAGAGGTATAATTTAAAACGATAATAACTATACCCATTTTTGATAGTATTATTTTTTCTAACTAATTAATTATTTTTTTTAATTATCGATACTTACTCGAAACGTTAACGCCTTTATTTTAGTAATAACTTATTAAAGATAGTTTTCATTCAATTTTTGTTGTTTGGGAAAAATTCTGATCTTACTTTCGTTGCGGTACTATCAAACACTCTACTTATACATCATAATATATAGGCAGCTTGAGTAATTTATAGTGGAGGCTATAACCTGTAGTGTATCAGATACACAATATATTATATTCTAAAAATGTAATTAAAAAAAAATGTTCTGTGGGTGAGAGGGCTAAACAAAATTCTGGAGAAGGGCTAAGTAAAATCATGGTTGCTAACAATTTATGTAGTCGAACGGTTGTAGATATAGATTAAAGTTGATGTAAAACGTGGGGGGGGGGCTATTAATTATACCAACATGGCTTTACTTCATTATTATTTCTCATAATGTCTTCATTATCAATATAACAACTGTTTTTCAATATTGGAGAATGGGGATGGACAGGGATAGTTAAAACGAATTTGAATCTATGAAATTCTCAACCGTATTATAGGACGCTTCTTTGTGGAATAGCTTATGGCCAAAGTGATTGCCAGTGTTAATGTGTTGTTGCCACTTGTAGTACTGTATGTACATTCTGATAACAGCTTTATGTATACAATATTGTTCTATATTTTTTAATTTAAAGTCATTTTTATCCCAAGTTTATTAACACAACTTTTTCCTATAAAACGTAGGTATAATATAACTATCAATATTCAATAGTTAATCAATAATTTAAAAACAAAATTATGATAAGACACAAAGACATTTGTATAAGGGGGTCTTAGTTTATTTCCGCCTATGAATTTCTGGATAAGATATGTAAAATGTTTATACTACAGTCCCTCATAAAGTATAATAATCAAAATTCAAAATATAATACAATTTTATTTTTAACTTAGGTACATAAATAATGTCTAAATTTCTATTAAATAAATACTACTCAAATTCCTATTTATTTTATGGGTAGGTATAATAATATGTACATGAGCTATTGTAATCTACCTATTTCATCATTTATAGTTTTTCTCTTGTTCTTGTTGTTTAAGTTTTAATTTCATATAAAAATTGTCATTAAATAATAAAGTCCTCTCTGATATTTTATAATATTGTTTTTACACTATTTTTCGTTTTTAGAAATGTCTTGAACATTGTGTATTAAATTTTAAAAAGAAACGAAATGAGTGATCAAGTAACGGGACTGCAGTGGCGGATATTGTCCATTTATAATCTATATCGAACTTAACACAATGATTTTAAATACTTACCTGACTGGTACCTAAACACTTCTTCGGGGTGATGTATGTGTATCAGTTGTTACACATGAGGTATTTTATAGCCTTCATTGAGTGCGGGGCTGGATAAAAATCACGGTTGCTTACGTTTCTTCACTAATTTTGAACAGTAGTTAAAGTTAAGCAGAGCTTGCGCTAATGAGCAGTTGTGCATAAAATACGCAGTTCTAAATTTAAATGTGTAGTTCTTATTTAAATGTTGTGCAGTTCATAAAACATATTATGATTTGAATTTTTAATAATTAATTTTATATTATGTCTATGAGCTTGTAACCATTTGACATTTTGATTTCTGAAATTATTAGAAATTATGATTAAAACATTGTTATAGTAAATACCTATTTATTTATGATTATCAAAAGATTAAAACTACGGGCATACAACGGTTCTAAAACTGTGGTGATAGTGGTGATACTGATGAAGAGGTTGTCATAAAAAATAAAATCATTTTAAAATTTGATTAAAGGAATTTGTTATTTTAATTGTTAATATTCATATATTATGACGTATAATATAATATTATTTAATATGTATGATAGTATGTATTATTCATTATGTGAGAGCGAAGCGAACATCAAATTTTTTTACTTCTGTAAAACAAACAGTATGTGCAACTCTTATATTTCTTTAGCGCAAGCTCTGTAGGTAAGTACAATATAGTTGGTACATATTACATACTTAATAACATTCTGAGGAAAACATACCTACTGAAAAAATTACTTTTTAAAAGTGCCATATAAAATCAACTCCGATCTAGATCATGCAATTTTTCAAATACAGTTTCACAAACAAAAAGAAAACTGGAGATAGTAAGATTAAAAAACTTGGTTTTGTTCAAAATGAAAAATTATACTAATTATCAAAAAAGTTTTCTATGTTAATAGTAATTAAAAACTTACTATGATACATTTTTTAAACATATCTTTTGAATAAAGTCTTTGATTTAACATGTTAAACTCAGTTTCAATACCTACCTTTCTAATAAATTATAAGCAATATACAATATACATGAATGGTAATTAATTTTTTGGCTACCTCACGAATTATCTCAGCGAAGCCCAGTTATCTGTAAAAAGACATTAAGTAAAATAAAAAAAAACTGTACTCACTGTACATACTTAAATTTAGTTATTTTTTTTTAACTGGAAGGTGCAGTGTGACTAATAATTCATTGATAAATCGAGAGTAGTAATGAGAGTTTAAGAGCAAAGTATTTTGTGGTTGCATGTAACGTAAAATAAAAAAGACGCAGCTTAAGTAAAATTAATGTGTATTAGGTACTCATATGCTTAACTCAGTTTGAGTGGTTGATAATTGTACAAAATATATAAAATGTAACAAGAACGGTGTACTTAAATTCATAAACATATAGAAAGAGTAACTAAATACAGTTAAATTGACATTTTTAAATATCAAACAACAATAGCTAAAAAAAGCTAGAACTATTAGATTTAGTTTATCTACTACCTATTGTTGCATAAGCTAAATAATAATCAGGTACTAAAAATAGTAGGTAAACGGTTGGTTTGACATTTTTAGTGGACGCTCTTGAAATTCAAAAGGTTCTTAAGGTTCTTAACTCTAAACATTTGATTTTTATGATATTTAAACTTTTTAAGATTAATTATAGAACTTGGGTTTACGGTTAATCAAAGTAAGAATTGTGAATTCCCATTTTATGAACAGAAATAGAATTAGACAATTGGTGCAATTAACATATAAATTAAAAAGTATTAATATACAATATATTACCCACATTATAATATAGGTAATAGGTGTGTCTATCATTGTAATTCATATTATACCAATGTTTTAATAATTAGTTTTATTTTTCATGCAATTATATCAATTACGGTTATTAATTAGTTTTAGTCAATTAAATGTGTGTGTAAAATTATCGTATACAAAATGAAGTGGAAGTATGTTAAGTAGTACCTACACATTTTATTTAAATGTCCAAACACAATTATTGATATTAATTGTTTAATTTAAATTCTGGTAAATATTTATTTCTGAAAATAAGATTCATTATCTACCTGGACAAATTTAATTTTTAGTGTATGGATAAATTTGAATGTAAATCAAATAAAGATGACTTAGTTCAAAATTTGTATTTGGTTACATTTACTTATGAGTAATACAATGTTTATTTTGGCACATTTTTTAATTCTAATGTTTATTAAATTTAGTGACTGTTAAACTGCCTTTACCTATTTGTGTAGGTAAATATTCTAAGTTACTGACAATTATGGGCAGTTGTATGTTAAGTATTTGTATTACATTTTGATTTATAAGTTACAAATTTTAATTTAAAATTTTGATATTGAAACATTAATCCTACTATTTTGAGTACTAAACTTTAGGTCTTCAAGAAACAATATAATTATCTTAGATGTCTTATACTGCCAAGGCTATACATCTGAAAATCATAGTACCTATATATATTTTTCTTTTGATAGGCTTTCTATTGCAGAGTAAATGTTCTGTGCATGTCGAATGTGTCATTTGAAAAGAAGAGTTTGATTTAAAGCAGGATATGATTTTTAAATTATTATTATATTTTTTTCAGAA